TGTCGCGCATTAGCATTTACTCCACCGGCCTCGCTCCGTTCCCACGGCTCTCGGCCCCGCCCCTCTCGTCACAGTGGCTTGTATGCCAGGGTTGCAAGAAAAAAGCCACTCCTCAAGACAGGCCACATGCAGTCACGACTGAGCTTTGCCAAAACACACCTTGAAGATTCTGAGGCAGATGAGACTAAAATTGAATTATTTAGCCTCAACACCAAACAATATGTCTGGCAGAAATCCAATACAGCTCACCATCCAAGCAACAGCATTCCTGGTGTCGCGCATTAGCATTTACTCCACCGGCCTCGCTCCGTTCCCACGGCTCTCGGCCCCGCCCCTCTCGTCACAGTGGCTTGTATGCCAGGGTTGCAAGAAAAAAGCCACTCCTCAAGACAGGCCACATGCAGTCACGACTGAGCTTTGCCAAAACACACCTTGAAGATTCTGAGGCAGATGAGACTAAAATTGAATTATTTGGCCTCAACACCAAACGATAATGTCTGGCGGAAAGCCAATACAGCTCATCATCCAAATAACAGCATCCCTACAATAAAGCATGGAGGCGGAAATTTCCTGTTATGGGGTGTTTCTCTGCAGCAGGGACTGGAGCACTTGTCAGGATAGAAGGAAAAATGGATAGGGCAAAATACAGTTGAATTCTTGAGGAAAATCTGCTGCCCTCTGCCAGAAAGTGGTCAAAAGGTGGTTTACCTTCCAACATGACAATGAGCCAAACACACAGTAAAACTGAGCACACAGTGGTTTAAGGAGAAAAAGCTGAATGTCCTTTCATGGCCTGGTCAGAGCCCAGACTTAAACCCCATTGAAAATCTGTGGAATGACCATCAAATTTAACTGAACTTGAGCAGTTCTGCAAAGAAGAGTGGGCAAATATTGCAAAGTCTAGATGTGCAAAGTTAGTTGAGGCATATCCCAACAGTCTAAAGGCTGTAATTAAAGCAAAAGGTGGTTCAACAAAATACTGACACAAGGGGGTGATCATTTTTCCAACTCAGTGATTCTGTTTTTTTTTTTGTTTTTTTTTTCTGACATGTTGGAGTTATATCTTTCACTTGGATGTCATAAGTTGCACTGAGTAAATACAGCTGGATAAAACAAAACCTGTGTCCGTCTTCATTTCAGTCTGCAAAGCAACAAAATGTGATTATTTTAAAGGGGGGTGATTCTTTTCTATGCCCACTGTATAACTTTATAGATAATTTGGTATATCGGCCAGCCCTAAATTGAGCCCATTTGAGGTGATGAAAGCTAAAGCAAGGATGTGACATTCTTTGTAGATCTTTTTTGCAATACGTGTGCTCTGAAAAACATACAGTACTTACTTGTCCAGATGAGTATAAAACGAGAACATGCAAAATACACTATTTGATCACACCAGGATCAACACGAGGTTCATTAGAAACCAAACCTCTCTTCATGGTCACGATGGGACTTACTTCACTCAGACAACTGCTATTTGAAATCGCAATTGGAATGATTTGTTTAGCCATTGCGTGGCACATTTTGTGAGCATTACTTTACGATGCAGGAGGAACGAGCCAACAGAGCTGTAGTATCAGGGGATATTCTGAAAGAAAGGGAGTCTTGGTCATAACAGCTGCCACTCTGGACTGAAAAACTTGATGGGGTGCGTCTTAGTCCACTTTGCAAAAACAGCCTTCTCCGTGATGAACCGGTGCCCGCCGTAAGGGGCGCTCTCGTGCAGTAGGTATTCGGCACATTCGTCACGACTTCCTGCTTCATAGTAGTGGTACGGCACCTTCCTGTAGCCTTCTGATCTAAAATGTAAAAATAAATAAATGTAACTTTGTTATTCCATCTCTATAAATCATACTATAAAGTGTCATTTTCAGGATATTTTAAAAGGCATTTACAATCTATTTTATTTCTGCATCACGTATTTCTGAGTGAAACCGAAAAAACATTGGAAAATGAAAAACGAGGATGTTTTTCTCTGTGATGCACTGATGAATTGTGCATAATAAAGACCAGGAAGCCTGTAGCAGTTTTGATGTTGTTGAAGCTTTAACCCACTGCTACTTTTTATTCAAAGACTGAGTGCTCTGAGTCTATAAGGAGAATTTCTGTGGAGAAATGATAGCTCAGAAGGACTTTTTTCCCCTCACAAATAGATTCAATTTTTCTCTCCCAGTAGCACCTGTTGAATTTTAATTACAAAAAATCCAGCGAGGTCAATTGCAACAACAGCTCAGCACCTTATCCTAAAATAGAAACTTCCCAGAAGAACTGCCTTTCATCAAAATAACTTTGTTGTAGCCACTGTTTTCTCATTTGCCAGTCTTTACAGGTGTCTGGGAGTTGCTGTGAAATGAAAATTGCTCATTGTTTTGAAAGGGAGAGCGAAATGAATAAATGGCTGGGAAAACAGACTATAATAGCTACTTTACAAACACACTAATAACAAGCGTGCTATGCTTATGTCTATCTGCATCAGAGTGGGCGTGAGGTAGTTAAGGACACTATCATTAAAATGGAAACATAGTGTGAGATTCATGGTAAAGGGGTTTATATGCAGCCAGTGAACTACAGAATCACAGTGTCAGGAGACATGCATAACAGTGTGTTAGAAAACCAGACAACAGTCGGACTATTTTGGCAATTTTGGTAACAATATATTGCAGTAAGGATTAAAGAGCCCAAAATACTTTTTTTAGAAAATTATTTTTAAAGTAAAACAAGAAATTGTACTTTTCTCAAAATACTAGTAAATAAAACAATAATACTATTGAAAAGAGTGTTTCAAATATGATCAGCTAATTACTAGAAACATGACCAGCTGAATGCTTGTCGCTTACCTCCCCATTAAAATATACTTTCACTTAAATTATTCTTTAATAATTTAAATATTTTATTCTGATTGTGCGTTAAAACGTAGACAAAATAACTTTGTAAATTAACCAAATTAACAGTTATTTTAATGCATCCAGTATGACCACTAGCAAGTGATCATGGTCAGTGGAGGACAGTAAAGAAGACTGGTTACAGGTCCCTACTTAGGCCAACCCTATGGAAATATTTTAGGCTGTAAGGACCTTTGAAATAACTGAAAACATATGGATATGGACATGTGCTGAAGTGATATGGAAATGTAATGTGGTCAAACTCCCTTTAAGGCAAGTAATTTAACTCAGCGGCCATCTTTGAAACACCTCTTGGCATCAGAGCATGTGAGCGGAGCGGAGCGTGAGCGGAGTGGTAATATTTCCTTAAGAGCGCAGAGCGCCTTTCTGAAGATGTTCATAAATGTTGTTTCTTTTGCTCAAATGGCGTTAAAAAAAGCTTATTTTCAGGCTAGACCAACCTGTGCGCATGCGCAGTCCTAAGCGTGCATCTCAGAAAGCTGACTGTTTCTATAGCAACCGGGACTTCTAACGGCAGCTGTAGTGACGCGATGACTTTACCGATTAGCGATTGGCTCTTTTACTCAGAAGGCAGGGCTTCCTTCGATAGAGCAGCCATATTGAGAGTTGCATTGTACCCATTCAAAACTATACGAGTGACACATCTTGGGTATTCTATAGTTTTTTATGTGGTCAAGACCTGCCTGGAACTACTTTACCCATACGAAATTAAGTGCACACCATAGAACATTCCTTCAACCAATCAGATTCATGCATTCAACAGCCCTGTAGTATAAAATCGTTAAATGCACACTTAGCCGTGGATTATGCCTTACGTGGCAGTAGAGTATTTCTACAATGACTGGTAACCGAAAACGGTTGCTTTTGTGTTTTTTGATGCTACATCCACACCTCTAGGTGTCAGTATTAGTTCAATATTACATGTCGGTCAGCGCAACATCAGCAAACAAAGACTGCTAATGAAATCACATACACTTAGTTTGAGCAGGTACTTTGTTTGAACAAGTAATTACTTCATGACTGTTGAAAAAGTACATTCAATATAGCATGAATGTATGTAGTATGAATTTAATCCGGACATACTGCATTAGCCATGGTGACCTACAGTGACCGCTGCTGTCATTCACAAATCCTCTCCTGTGGCTGGTTTTTAGATCTTTAGTATATTCTAACTGGTTTTCCTGTGTTATGTTCCTGTTTTCTTTGTTCACGCTTTCATTTGTTGCCATGGACACTAATTATGTTATACACCTGTTATTATATTTATTATGAATATACACTTGGTTCTTGTTTTACCTCTTGTTATCATCCGTATCTCTCCATATCAGATGCACACTTTAACATCTAACCAGAAGCAGTAGGTCATCTGGGATGTTTTCAGCTACTGTTTTATGAATACTGTGAATCCAGACATACCAGTCTTTTCACATACTGTTCTTCACATTCTATATAGTATGCGATTTTGGATGCAGTCAAAAACTACTCCTTGTGTCTCATTTCGTAGGTTGTGCCCTCCGAAGTTCACATTTGTTAGCTGCATGCTTCATCCAAGATGTCTCATTTCAGAAAAGTAATCATTGCAAAGCGAACTGTTATTCCATGTGAGGTATAAATCATTGTAATTTCTTTCTTACTTTGGAATGTAATGGTTACATTTCTAAAATGAGGCAGCTACTGAGTATACCTTCAAATTAATGAACCGAATATGAAAGAATCACTAAATGGAACTGAATGTAGCACTACTCTTATCATGCAGCAAATCATACTGCAATTGTGTTATTTTACATTAGGCACAAATATTTTTTTGACGGGTTCAAAGTATGATAAAACATATCGCAACATTGCATGATCTAAAATGATAACTAGTAAAGAATTCTGAAGCAAAGATATGTTTGCATGTCTGTATTATGGCAGGGTGGACACTTCCCCCAATGTTTAAATGAAACCCACAGCTCTGCTCTTGTATCATCTCTGCTCTCTTATTTCACTCTGGAAACAGGTGAAGCTTCTTTAAAGCCCATTGTCAAGTGATAGATTGCATGTCAGTCTTACTTGCAGTATGTGTCATTGATCATGCCGTAAACTCGGATCTCCTTGCACATGTCCATGGCCAGAATGAGTGTGAACCAACCGGTGCTGAGATACGACCCCGACTGAATCCTGCCAACATAAAATCATCACGTCATTTCAACATGCATTTGAGTGATCTATATTCAAATAATCTACAATATAGCTCCCAAAAATGCTGTGATATCTCTTTCAAAAGAAAAATGAAGCACCTGTGTGTAGAACATAAATTGAGTGAACCCTATAGGTGAAAGGGTGACCAGGACTAACAACATAGAAGCTGCTGTATACAGAACAGAAGCATCTCCCTTCACAGGTAAGAAATAATTAGTTTGTGTGAAATTGATTCTCAAAATCTGAAATAAGTTGAAGTAAATAAAGTCCCATCACACTTTAAGTGCACATGTGCTCCCTTGACTTGCATAAAAGCACCTCCACAGACTCAGTACCTCCATCACACAGTCCTGACGCTTATATTCCCTGCAACTTGAGCCCGTGAAACTCTCCCCCACACGGCTCATGAAAGTGGTCAATCATTAAGACATATTAGAGCACGTGGCCATTTAGAGAAGATATTGGCACCCGTGGAAAAATCAATTTCCCAGGCGCTTTGTAAAGAACACCGGTTTCATCAGAAAGAGCAGACCTGCTTTCAAAGTACAAGCATTAATTCCCAGCCATCAACCCTCCTCTGCTCTGTGCAGCATTAAATTGCCATTCATACAGTTTCGGAGACATTGTTCAGCTGAACACAAGACCCCTTGAAACACCTCTTGAAATCCCCATGAAATCAAAATTAAAAAATGTAGTTAGTATCAATATGTTAGTCTTAAGGTTATCTATAAGGCAGTGTGCTCCAAAACAGTGACAAAATTCACATTTAGAAGATATAAGCATTCAAAGCTTGCAGTTCGTCACTTCCGCCAAA